ACAAAGAGAAAATGACAGGAGCACAACAGTAGTGGGAGAGTTTAATGCACCTGCCTCAGTCTGACAAACTAAGTAGGCTAAGAATGAATGAGGATAGAGAGGAACTGAATAACGTATTCCATGTGTCTGATTTAATAGATATATGTCAATTTTGTACTCGACAAAAAGAAAATATACCTTTTCTCTAAGCACTCATGAAACAGTTGCCAAAACTGATCATATATAAGACCACAAAGGAAATTTCAAATTCCAAAAAGCAGAAATTGTACAGGTCCTGTTCTCTGACCACAATACAATAAAACAGAAAATTAATGGCACAAGTTCAAACCAACAAACCCAAACGCTTTGAAATTAACAACACTCTACTGTAGAGCTCTCGGGTCAGAGAGAATATCAAGGCTGCAATTACAGATCATTTAGGACACAAAAACAATGAACATTGCATAACGACACTCATGGGATAGTGTCAGGGAAAATTCAGAGCTAAAGACCTTATATTATTAACAGAAAAGAGTTAAAATAAATGGACTAAAGATTCAAGCCCAGAAATTAGAAAACAATAACAAACCAAACCAAAGAAAATTAGGAGGCAGGAATTAACAAATCCAAAAGCATAAAATAATGATTTGAAGACAAAAAAAAAAAAAAAAAAGAACTGATTTGTACAAGAGGTAGCTCTTTGAAAAAGAATAATAATATGAATAAAGTGCTAATCCAGAAAACATTAATATAGAAATTTAAGAATGAGAAAAGGATATAATTTCATATATGGAGATTTTCTTTTGAAGGAATATTATAGTTTTAAGCTAATAAAGTTTAAAATGCCCAATGGATTTTTTTAAGAAAAACAGAAATTACAAATGGAATTTAGAATTAGAAAACTTGAATGAATCGATATGCCAGGAAAATGTTGCCAAGTATGAGAGGCAGTATGTATAATGATTAAGGATGTGAGATCTAGGACCAATCTGCCTGTGCTGGCATCCCAGCTTCACCTGTTGGGCAAATTATTCAACCCCCCCAAACCTCAGTTTCCTGAACTCTAATTTGGTGATGATAACAATATCTACCTCCCAAAGTTGTTGTTTTGCAGTCAATGAAATAACACAAGCCAGTCCTCCTAACAGAAGGACTCCCCAAAAGACACCAGGCATTTATTGACGCATTCCTTCAAACTTGCAAAGAACAGGTATTTTATATGCTATACGAATAGTTTCAAGGCATAAAGAAAGACGAAACTCTTTCATTTGACATTACAATCATTATCTTCATACAAAAATCTGACATGTTAGCACAAAAAAATATGACTTTCCTTTATGAATATATCTGAATTAAATAAAATATATGCAAATAGTATCCAGGGTTGTAATGAAAGAATAAGACACCAAAATCAAATAAAGTATTTCTCAGGAATAAATGAATGGTTCAATATGAGGAAATCTATCAGTCCACTTCATTGCATCACCAGGCAATTGGCAGTGTGTTGATCTAGAAACATTACATTTAGTTATTAGCCTAAGAAAATGAGACATGGCCAAAGATTTGTGTTCAAGGTTATTTGGGATAACATTACTGAACTTTTTTTTTTTTTAATAATTTTATTTATTTTTTCCCCCAAAGCCCCAGTAGATAGTTGTATGTCATAGTTGCACATCCTTCTAGTTGCTGTATGTGGGATGCGGCCTCAGCATGGCGGGAGAAGCAGTACGTCGGTGCGCGCCCGGGATCCGAACCCGGGCCCCCTGCAGCGGAGCACGCGCACTTAACCGCTAAGCCATGGGGCCGGCCTCTGAACTTTTAAACAATCTAAATACACAATAATAGGAGAATGCTTAAATGTATATATATTAAATAAACATATTACACTTAAATTATATATACAAATATACCATAGAGTATTCTATAGAAAGGACTATTATGAAACCATATAAAATATTTCACAGAATATTTCAAAACATGAGAATATATTCAAGATACATTGTCCATTAAGTATAAAAAAAAGAGATTAAAAGTAGTATATATAGCATGTCTACATATGTGGAAGCTATCCATATTTATCTCTGTGTGTATGTGTACATATATGTATGAACATTTAGGTTGTTTCTTTTTTTTTGCTACTATAAAAATGCTGCAGTGAGTAACCTCACATATGTGTTATTTTGCACAAGTGTGAGGATCAAATCGCCATATTTGATTTCTCCATTTCTCCATGTTAAAAGCTGTAATCTGATAATCACTCATGCAAAAGGAAAAATGCAAAAGGTTATTCATTGCAATATTGTTTAAGTGTGTGTGTGTATGTAAACACACACACAGTAATTTATACAGGGAGGGAAACAAAAGGAAATATAACAAAATGTCACAGTGGTTATTTTAGGACAGTTTTGTGGGGGATTTTTGTGTTGTTTTTTTTTTTTTTTAAGGAAGATTAGCTCTGAGCTAATATCTGTTGCCAATCCTCTTCTTTTTTCTGAGGAAGATTGGCCCTGGGCTAACATCCATGTGCGTCTTCCTCTACTTTATACGGGACGCCGCCACAGCATGGCTTGACAAGTGGTGTGTCGGTCCACGCCCGGGATCTGAACCTGCGAACCCAGGGCCGCCAAAGCAGAGCGTGCTAACTTAACCGCTACGCCACCAGGCCGGCCTAGGACAGTTTTAATTTTCATCTTTATACTTTAAATTTTTTTCCTTAATGCCAATGTAGGAAAAAATCAAATGTTAGCAAAACATTTGAAGTGAGATTCAAACAAAGGAAAAGCACTCCACTTGTCTACAAAATACCTAATTCAAGACATTTATCCTGTTAGTAAACTCATTTGTAAAAAAAAATTATAAGAACTACTTCAAATAAGATACGTAAGGAGTTTCTTACAGGGTCTGGAAATCAGTAGGCCAATAGTACATATTCAAATTAAAATCACTGTGAGGATTAGTTTTTAAAAAATGTAGGTGAGAGTGTTTAGCACAGAGCCTGCAGCACAGTTGGTTACCAAGAATTATTAACCGAACATGAATTATTCCCCTTTCCTGGTGACACCTAGACTCTGAGATGGGAGATTAAAAGTGTTTCTCTCTCACTGCCGCTGTCCACCATTCAACATGGGTTCTCTCATTTCTTGTGACTATCTCTTTGAAGCTGCCATATTGCTTAAAAAACAAATAAACCAAAAGATAACAACAACAACAAAAAACAATGAAACTCGTTTTCTCCTTGCCTCTGGAGGAAAAGCAAAAAAAAAAAAATCTATCCTTTATCTCCCTTCCTGGAGTCTCTCTTCTAGCTTAAATCCAAGTCCAATGTAGAATTGATTCAACCTTTGGCAAATGGTTTTTCCCTGGATATAACTTAATATTCTGTCTTGGGAAGGGAGAATGTCTTCATGTGAGAAATTCTGGCTTACTGCCCAAATCCACACCCCACTGGATAGTGTCCATGGAGATAAACCATCCGATTTAAAATTCTGGTCTGAACCAAAAGAATGATGTAATGATTCCATTGGTATGAGAAAGTTTATCTGGTAGGAGTAAACAGGATGATTTATCTTAGAAATGACCAGAGACCGGAGCTAAGAGAAATCTGAACAAAATATATATTGTGGGCCTGGATTTAAGAGGTGGATATAGGAACAGGATTTGAGGATTCACTGGATATAGAGGATGAAGGGAGGGAAATAGTGAACGATGACTGAAGTTTCACATTCCAAGCCCATGGAATATTAGTACCACGGACAGAAGCTTGAGCATTGGAGAATAATGATGAGCTCACTTTGGGACGTAATGGTTTGGGCTAAGGGCAGGAATTTCAAAGAGATGTCCATAAGCAGTTTAAAATCTAACCCTACAGACCAGATGGACCTCAAGCTAGAGGTGTAGATATGAGAATCAACTTGGGCAAGAAGGCAGAGCCGAGGTCCTCATGAACACACCTGAGCCTTATGGAGCACTGGTATTTAAGAGACTAGAAGAGGAAAAAGGACCTAGTAAAGGAGCTGGAGAATGAGTATCCAGAGGGTGCAATGCCAAGGGTAGGAAAGATGGTTTCCATAACAAGACATAAGAAAATGGAAACAGATCTTCTAGCAGAGGATGGCAGAGCTGTAATCCATGGTTTAGATAAACTAAAGCAAAGATGTCATGCCTCCTCTTCCCCTTGCTTTAGTTGAAATTAGATGCATGCACTCATGAAAAACAAAGATGCAATGTTGAATTGAAGCAATAATGCAATGTTGAAGTGTGCTTTAGTGGTAAGCTGAATCTTCATTCAATTTTAGAAGCCCTTGGAATGCCTTGAACTCCGGGCTTTGGCAACTTTGACTTTATTAATTTTGTGGCTTGTTCAATCTATGTAGACGTTTGCATTATTAATTAAAATAAATGTTTTTGAAATATTGGGTTGTGTCATTTATAGGCAGGACAAAGCCTAGAACCCAGGAGTCCTGATCCCAGGCAGGGGAAGGTTTGCATCAGCTTGCTGCATCTCAGTATGCAGACACTTGTGTATAAAGATGGGGGACAAATTAAAGCCCCATATGGGATAAGCACCTTAAGTTAAGGCATCTTCTTCTGGGCTAACCATACCTTAACACCTTCCCTCCCCCAAAAAAAGGTTCTACTTCCCCTGCCCAGTTCCCCACCCTATGTGTGCATACTTGCCAAATGCCCCCTAATCTCCATCCTTCTCCTCCTCTACCCACCCCTGCCCAACAAAGCCTCTATAGCTAGTCAGCCAGATCCACAGATGTGGGTGGGTCACCATGGTGACAGAGGAAGCCCTGATGCAGAAGGAGAGAGACAGAAACAGCAGGGGAAGTTTCTTTGAGCCTAACACACTGCTCCCTGCCCTTCACTTTTCCAGGTCATCAAAAGGCCAGGGTTTTTTAGAAGTATTTCCTTCCACTCAAAGAAGCATATTAGAGGTCAAGAGAGGTGCTGTTGTTGTGGAGAGATGATGGAATGCTTGAACTCTTCATTAAAAATTTCTTTTCTATAACTTTCAGGTGATCATCAGTATAACCATCCGATTTTAAGCAGTGCTACCCAGACCCCTACACATGGTGAGAGATGATTGAGAGTGCTCTGCATTCCATCCTCATTTCAAGTGGCTCCATCCTGACTACTGAGGCCTGGCAGGGCATCAGACACATGGTCACTGACTCATTGAAGCTAAGGAGGTGTAGGGTGTCAGGTGTCCGCCCTCCTCCAGGGCCACAATGCCTCACTCTCACTTTTAGACCATTGTGCCCTTGGTGTTTCTGTCTCTAATATCAGAGTGATCTTGCGCCATGAAAGGGAAGGAGTGAGACCCTTTCTTAACCCATTCTCACTTGCAATCTAGATCACTTTTTACAGTCATAAATTCCATATGTTCACAGCAAGAAGTGAACACTCTCCGTTGCCCAAGGCTACTTGTGGTACCATTTACAAATGACATGAGACCTGGTAAACTATATCCATCCTCTTCAAACTAATTAAGATTTGATAAAACTCAAAACCAAACTGGGTGAGCTGAGCTTCCACTTCTTGGCAGGGGAAGAAGCTGAAAATGGTAGAGCACAGGAGTGTGAGCATAGTGCCGAAGGGTTGCCAAGCCACGCTTCCCTCTTAGGTTACAATATCCTCCCACCAGATCACAACATTTGGAACTGCAGAGAAAAACTATTTTTGATACCTGCTCAAGACTTGATAGAACATAAGACAGCCACATAAATTATGAACTATCAGTCATTCTTCTGTCTTTGCTGTGAAGGAATGAAAACATCATTAAATTTTAGTGAGAGAGAAACTCAAAACAAAGATAAATTCTACAGCTCACCGGGTAGAGAGACCTACAACTCTCATGTCAGATTATGTTCTGCTTCAGCATTGAAATTGAAGGGCAATATAATTAGGAGGAGAGAAGTGGACTCTTTTGATGTCCCCCTCCAGTGCTAGGCTTCTAGTGGAAATATGTGATGACAGCAACAGTTTAATAAGATGTGAAAGGGTCTGGGGTCTAGGAAAAATTAAAACTGGGAGAAATCAGAGAGATCAGTTAAAAAGAAGCTAATACCAGTGGTGATTTTGACAGCAGGAATGGAAAGGAGGGTTCTGATATGATACATTTTGAAGAAAGACTTGGGAAAACTTTGTTACTAACTGATGAGAATCAATTATGAGTAAAATGGAGAGCCAAGATTAATTAGAAGAATGGGGGGCAGTTATTAACACAATCTAAAGAATCAGGAAAGCAGCCAGTGTGTACAGGGGATGGAGTTGGTGATGGTGAGTTTAGATCTTGACAGCTAGAGCTAGATACAACCATAGGATATGCAAGAAAGTCATTAAACAGGCAGTTAGAAATGCCAACATGGAGTCTGGAGGGAGGTTACAGCTGAAGACGTAAGTTACCCTTTAGAAGCAGTAACAGAAGCCATGGGAGTAGGGGCAATCTGTTCAAGAAGGTTGAAAGAGAAAAGCAGAAGGCATGAGCAGACAGACTGGGGGATGCCCCTGGCGATGAAGCAGCACCAGGAAGAGGAGCCAGAAAAGGCAAGCAAGAAATGCCCCCCTTACTCAGTAACATTCTGAAAGAATAACTATGATCTGGTTTTCCCCAGAAGGAGCCAACATAGGCACAGCCTGTTAAATACAAAAGAGGGAACCGTTCTTCCCTCCTCCTCTTCCTGTCTTCTCTCTCCCACCTGGTGCAAAGAGCTGAACGCAGATGAGACTCAGTCCCTGCCCTTGAGCAGCTCACAGCCTAGTGGAAGCAGGGTTTTCTCTGCATCCCTTCTTTGGATGTTACACTTTTCCCAGGAGCTGGCAGAATGACTATTAAGAAAGGAGGGAGCCTGTATCTACTTGATTAAGCAAAGAGCATTGGTTGGATCCTTATTTTGGGCCAAGCACTATGAAGGCATCAGAAAAATTGGAAAGCAAGACTCCTGCTGTCAAGGAGATTGTAATCTTTGGAGATCAACAAGACTAACTCAAGTCAAATGATTAGAGATCATGTAGACACTAAATTGGGTGGTATTGACTATAAGAGCAACAGGGGCTTAAAGACCAGATATCATTGTGGGCTGAAAAGATATGACATTGTCATAGCAAAGAGCCTTGAGCAAGGGGAGAATTTGGATAAAGGAAGAATAAGGAAGGGCACTGCAATAGGAGAGAAAGCATGAGCAAGAGGCCAAGGGCAATCAGGTGGAGGCAGAAGGCAAGGGAGAGCTGGCCTTGGCTCAGTGACATGTTTTGGAGAACAGTGTAGGGCAAGAGCATCCAGAAATGTTGCATTTGGAAATAGATGAGCTGAGTGATACCCTCGTTGGCAGTATGATGCCAACAGGCAGAAGGAAGTTTGTTCTTCTCCACCATGGCCAAAAATGAGGAAACAAGAGCTAAGGGATGGTGGCTATTACCCAGCTCTGGGTAGCAGTGCTCCCAGCTTCCTGCCCACTCCACTTCCTGGCATCTGTCCCAATCCATGCCAGGGAGGTTCTTTCTATGCAGCATGTTCTGATCTCACGGGGATGTAGAACATCCCCCACCCCCTCACATATGTACTGAGCTGCCGTGAACACCAGCTCATTGGCTGGGCTCCCCTGGCTCAATCCCCAGTTTAGGAGTGCCAGTGAAGGCAGGAAGGGATAGACAAGCTGCGAGTTCCCTGTGCTTAGGCTGCCCTTGGACCAGGCTAGGAGTGCTTCCCTTTGTCCCATGGTTCATAGAATTCCTGCCTTCCAGGGTTCAGCAATCTCTTTGCCAAGAGGGATGGGGAGCCACAGTCCTCTGATACATTTGTCCAAAGATAAAGCCTTCCAATTCTTGGGCGTCCCAAACCAAAGAGGATGGAGGGATGACATGGCCAAACGAGCGCCACCTAGCTATCTCACTCTGGGAATGGTACCACTGTTTCCCCAGAAATTACCTGTTGACTTCTTGCTGTGCCTCAAGTCAGTCAAGCACCAAGGCATGCTCATCTTCCTTCCCCAGATCTCCATTCCTTTACATCCTTCCATCTGCACAGCCACTCCTTCACCCAGACCTGCATCTCCTCTACCCTCACTCCTGTGCTATTCCTAATCTGGCCCCCAGAGCCCAGCCCAGCTCATTCACTTCATTAGTCATTCACCTCATCTCTCTTTCACCTTTTCTCTCATTCCTTCTCCCATTCTTTTTCCCAGGGCTGGCATTGAACAACATTCCCTTCTCTCTCTTTAGATTTTGGAATCTCAAGGTTCTACTTCAAGGGAAGGAGGGAGAAAAGGGGAATAATGCACTAAGCATTTTACCCACATTCTTTCCTCCAGCAGCTCAGAGATGGCTAAGGAGGCTTCAGAGAAAGGAATCGAAGTAAGAGGAAATGACTTTGTAGCTCCCAGTGGGTACTCAGGTGTGGGGATTAGAGAGGCCTAAGGCAGAAGGGGATGATGTGAGAAGTGAAATGACATCACAACAGTGTGGGTTGGAGTCTCAGTGGAGCTGGGTCTCAGACCCAGTTCTTCTATGGGTATGTAGAAAGACCAGTCACTGCCCCCCTCCTTCAAACCCAGATGTTTCCAAACCTGAGAACTAAATTTGCCTAAAGCTATTAGAGAAAGGACAGAACTTTCACACCTAAGTAGGTGATTTTATGACCCCCCTCAGCTCCATCAGGTTTACATTTTCATCAGACAGCACAGTGATGTGCTGGGAGAAAGAGTTTGCCATTCAAGGAAGGGCAAACTGTCATTGTTGCTAGTGGCAGCTAAAATAGCACCTACTGGAACTGAGCATGAGGGAAACTGAGTCACTAGCACCACCTGTGTCTTAGCACAGGAGGCCAGGAAAGCAGGATGGGGATGAGGCAGAAAGTGAAGAGATAGAACCTAGACCCTTCCCTCCTGCCTGCCCCAAACATTGTCCTCACTAACGCAATGCACCCCTCCTTCTCTTGCAGAGAAGCCACGGATGAACAACATCCTGACATCGGCCACCGAGCCCTATGACCTTTCCTTCTCCCGGTCCTTCCAGAACTTGGCCCACCTGCCCCCGTCCTATGAGTCTGCAGTGAAGACCCACCCCAGCAAGTACTCATCCCTGAAGAGGCTAAGTAAGTGGGGTTTTCCCCGGGTTGGGGTCTGCCTCTGGGGCTTCCACAATATCCTCCTGTGTCTTACTCTCTTGCCCTACATGTGAGGGGACCAGTGTAAAGTCCCAAGAACAAAGAACAAGGTGTAGCATGAAGACGAGAATAGACAAGCCACTTATTTTGTTCTTTATGGCCTGATTCCAATCTCCCCAAAGATAGAACAGAGGCCATGGAATCCTCAGATCCACATTGCCACGGGAGGCAATGCTTCAACTCATGCAGTAGTTTAACTGCAAGAGAGAGCCTTGCCCCAGCCCAACACTGTCTTGAGAACCCGAGACTCCCCTCGTCCCACACAGGCACCCCATTCCATCAGTTGAGTCCAGTTCATCAAGTGATCCCAGCTCTGACATTTGAGTCTGGAGAAGCTCTGGGGATTGACCGGTTTAAGATATTACAATGTCAAGAAGGTACCTGGTGGGAGAGCTCTTGTCTCTTGGCTTTCCAACCCTCTGACCTTCGGCCCCCATTCCCCATCAAATCTATTTTGATCACCACCCAACTTCAGGGCTGAGCATTTGCTTGAAGCTACAGGGTAACACACCCTGATAGAAGTTCAGCCCACGATTCCACATCAGCCACCTCCAAGGTGGAACGTTGAGTTTCTGTGGCTAGAGGTGGTGATTCCCAACGACCCGAGGAATCTGATGCATGCCCTAGGATGAGGGAATGTGACTCAGGAGGCAGGATCTACCCATCTGTGACCCTCTGGGAAAACTGAGGAGCAGTCAGCATTCCCACATTTTGCAGAGATCTAGAAGGCTGTCTGTTGGAAGCCTCATTCCTGACATTTGGGGTAGAGCAGGCTTGTGCGCGTGCTGGGTAAGTTCAAGGGTGCAGCAGGCAGTGTGAGCTTGGGAGGGCCTCCTGGTGGAGAGAAGGGTGGAGCATCTGAATGAGGTGCACATATAGGATCGTTCTGCCCTGCTCATGTTGTGGGCACAGGTGAAGTATGTGGAGGCTTGATTCTGTGGTTGTGTGGGGGTGGATGCCCATGTGGCAGCTTCCTGTGCATTGGCTGTTACTTCAGAGAAGGTGTCACTATGTTCCTAAGTTACCAGCTAAGTATTTTCACAAGTGCCTCCTAGTTGGAGCATCTTACTTGATTCTAGCAGAAGGCTGGTTCCGCAACCCAGCTTTCTTGGAAGGAGGCTCTGGACTTGGAAAGCTGCCGGCTGCTACTTGGGTGTTTCAGCAAGACCCGGGGAGCCATTCTGCGTCTTGACCATGGTGTGGTCGAAGCTGCTCTGGGGCGGGAGTTCAGGGGCCTGGGCTTGCCCTCCACTCTGCCGTGACCTCAACTTGCTGGGGACCTTGAGGAAGTCCCTTAACTCTTCACTACTCAAACTGGCCCACGGACCAGGGGCATCAGCATTGTCTGGGAGCTTATTAGAGATGCAGACTCTCAGGCCCACCCCAGATCCAGGAGGGCTGAATGAGAATCTGCATTTAAGAAGACCCCTGGGGACCGGTTTGCACATTCAATGGAGAAGCATTGCCTCCACCTGTCTGGGCTGCAGGGTCCTAGCTCAGTCCTGGCTGTGGTGTCACCCCAGCTGCCTTCTCTCTCTCTGTCTTTCCCCTGCAGCTGACAAGGAGGCTGATGAGTATTACATGCGGAGACGGCACCTGCCCGACCTGGCCGCCCGCGGCACCCTCCCCCTCAACGTCATCCAGATGTCCCAGCAGAAGCCGCTGCCACGAGAGCGACCTCGCCGGCCCATCCGGGCCATGTCCCAGGACAGGGTCCTGTCGCTAGAGCGGGGCCTGCCGGATGAGTTCGGCATGCCCTATGACCGCATCCTGTCCGATGAGCAGCTGCTCTCCACGGAGCGCCTGCACTCCCAGGACCCGCTGCTGTCCCCGGAGCGGACGGCCTTCCCGGAGCAGTCCCTGTCGCGGGCCATCTCACACACGGACGTCTTTGTGTCCACGCCCGTGCTGGACCGCTACCGCATGACCAAGATGCACTCCCATCCCAGTGCCTCCAATAACTCCTACGCCACCCTGGGCAAGAGCCAGACGGCAGCCAAGCGCCAGGCCTTTGCCTCGCGCAGACACAACACGGTGGAGCAGCTGCACTACATCCCAGGCCACCACACCTGCTACACAGCCAGCAAGACGGAAGTGACGGTGTGACCCCCAGGAGGGGCGGGCCACTGGGTGGGGCAGGGCAGGGGTCAGGAGGGGCCTGGAGCAGAGCTTCCAGCCCTGTACATCTCCTGTCCCTTGTCCCCTCCATAGGAGCTGGGGGTGGGCCAGCTTTGCCCAGAAAGCCATACTCCCGGGGGACACAGCCCGGTGGCCTGGCACAGCATGCTCAGACATGAGATCTAGAGCGATCGCTCTCACTCTTCCAGAAGTGTCAACGGGGAGTGAGGAGAGGGTATAGGCCCCAGTCTCACCCTCACCACCGTCACCAACTCCCTTGCAGTCCCATGTCCCCTCTCCCTCTCCTGGGGGCTCAGCTGCAGGTTCTGTCAGCCAAGAGACCCTGGCCTGACCCTGGTCTGAGGCTGCCTGGGTTTGAATTGGCCAGTGGGTACAGCTGACCCAATAGACTACTCAGTCTCCTTCATTTACCTAGAACCGCATCACAGAAATCTTCTAGTGCCTAAAAACTGCCTGCTCGCTCTCTCAGAGCCAGGGAGCTGCTGTGTCCATAAGCACAATAACGATTCTCTTCTGCCTGCTGGAACTCTCTGGTCCCCACTGAGTGGCCCTTCCTTTGCTGACACCTATGGGCCCCACCCTGGCCCTGTGCCCCTCCCCCAAGCCCAGGACAGGGAGGGGTTACCCCCTTCGGCTGCCTCCCCATTGCTGGGCACCTAGCCCAGTTCCAGCTGGCTGCTCCACCTACAAGGCTCCCCTGGCCTCTCCTCTGGGGGACTTTGCCCCTCCTCTAGCCCTTAATGTTTCACCCCTGAGTCCTCTGGCGCCTCACTCTAGCCCTCCCATAGGAGAGTAGCGATGGGGTGCAGGGACTTTTGGGGTGCCCTCCCCAGCAACCTGATTATCTCCACACTTCCTCTGGGCCTCTAGGTCTGAACTATGACCCGCCACTCAGGCCTGCCTTCCCCTCCCCCACTCTGCACCCTAGAGGGGTCTGCCCATGTCCAGAGACCAGTGGGTGGGGAGGGCCACTGTGATGCCCTGGGTCTCAGGGGCCCACCATTCCCATAATCCAGGGCTCCGCCTGTCTCCCACTAGGCACGTCAGGCAGGACTGAGGCAAAGGCTTCTAGAGAGGGGCAGCTCAGCCCCTAATCACGGAGGACCCGACACAGTTGTCCTGCACCTTGCCCGCTCCTCTCTCCCCACCGCTGCCCACATGCTTGGCCCCTTCTCTCTTTAGAACTGGCTCTCTCTGCCTGTTCCCCTTCCTCACCTCCTGTCCTCCTACAATTCCATTACTGTATCCTGGCTACTGCTTCTTCAGACCAGTGCCTCCTCTATATCAAAGGGACAGAGACCCATTAGCAAACACAAACAATGGTACTCCAGGCTATTGGGCTGGGGGCTACCTGGGCAGCTCCCCGGTCCCTCCCCTGCTCCAGGCAGATCCATTCCCTCAGCTCTGCTAGGGGACCACCCGTGCCAGCCCATCTTGGCCCTCTCTCTGCCTCCAACCTGGGGGGTGGGCGGGGTGTGACAGCGTCCTGGAGACAGTGAAATAAGCAGCATCCAATCCCCCAATACCAGAGCCCCAAGGAGAGGCTCCCCCATTCTCAGGGCGAGGGAACCTCCCTGGGCTGGGGCTGGGGGAATCAGCTCCAGATTATTGGCTGAAGGTATGACACTAAAAATGTGACTGTTGCTACAGTCAGACCCCAAAAGCAATGATCTTAAAGTGGGATTTTTAGCTTCCCCCAGTTCTCTATATAACATGTATGGCCCTGTAAAAGGGAGGTGGGGCAGACAGAACTCCCCAGTGTCAGCCCTGGGAAGTTTTAATCTAACCAAGTCCACAATCCACAGAGAAATCAATGGACTGATGCCTCTTACTTATTTCAAGAATTCCAAAGCTCTTGTCCCCACCCAAGGCTCACCATCACATGAGTCAGGAGGGAATTAAGGCTGAGGTGATGAGCACAGCCCTTAGCTTCCTCACTGGGGCGACGTCACTGGGACTGTGAGGCTGTGAGGACAGGAATAAGTCTTTGCTTTCCTCCCCCACAAACACATAAACCTTCTCAAGGGCTGGTCCCCAAGGGTTTATGAGCGTTTGTTCCAGAAGACGAGGCTAAGAGGGTTGGGCTGGAGGAAATCAACCTAAACAGAGCAGTTGGCCACTCCCAGAAACAAAGGTCTGTCTCTCACAGCTGGTCCCCTAAACCCCTGCACTCTAATCCAGCCCTCAACCAGTCTCATGGAGTTGCCTGCTGGTGCGGAGGGGAAAGGACATGGGTGGGTGAGAATCCTCTCCCCAGGTGTCCACACACACATACACCCTGAACCAGAAACCTGATCATCCCATGTCAGAGCATCTTCTTGGCACCAAGTTCTCCAGCCCTCAGGATCACGCTTCCACCCAGACTTGTCTGTCTGTCTCAGGGCTTGTTTGATTGGTTGATTCCCAAACACGTCTCATCCCAGCCTTACCGCTGTCTGGTTTAAAACCTTTGTTGCCAGCTGGATCAGAAAATTCTACCTGAACTCTTATTTCTTTGAAATGCTTCTTCTGCTTCACCCTTGGCTCTGGAAGGAGGGAAGGAAAGAAAGAAGGAAGGCAGGGAGAGAAAAAGAGAGAGAAGTCTACAAACTTGTTCCAATTCAGTCCCTCATTTCAAAATCTATAAGATTATGTCTCAAATGGGACACAGAAATATCATTTATTCAGTCGCCCCATCCATGTTTGTAGAACAAGCAAAGCCGCATTACCAGATAAGTTCATGTAGCAGATAAGAGAGGGTTCTGGGGCTGGAAAAGATGTCTTGACTTCCAGCCCCACCAGGCTGGTGTCCTCTACCACACATAGAAGGGCCATGCAAGTCCTGCAATGCAAGTCCTCTCCCTCCGCAAGGGAAGCCCTAAGCGCAAACTTGCCCTCTGCTTGTTTTGTGCTTTGTGCGAGTTTCCATTGCTCTGATGGGAATGGACGGGGCTCTGCGCAGGTTCTCTCCGGCCCTGAAGGTTCTTGCGGGTCTCCTTGGCCTTCGATGGCAGAGAAGCTCTTAGAATCGCTCACGCACTGCCACCTTTCCTGTCCTGCTTCCTCCAGTTCACTCTTGGCTCCCTGAGTTCATAAGTCACAAAGGCTTTCCCAAGAATTCCTTTAACCCCCTAACTGGGCTTCTGCCCTCAGGGATCCCCAGTGTAATGGGCGATGGGTCTGCCTTCTAGAAAGTTCCAACCTTTCCCTAATTCAAATTTCTCCTTCCCTCTTTCTACTCTCACACCCTGAAACTCCTGTCTTAACCTCAGTATTCTATGCCAGTTCATTCTTTCCTTCCTCTCATCTCCCTGGCCCTGCCTTCTTCCTCCATTCCTAATTTCTTTTCCTCAGTCCTGCTATACTCTCTAGTTCTACAACTTAGAGATCTCAACGAAAACAATCAAAAGATGAGACATTCTTCAGGTCTTCTGTTTGCCTCATTAGTTTATCCTTCACCTTCTACCCCTATGAGATGATAGCCCTGAGCATGTAGCCAAGGGCTCTTCCCCTCTGATCTTTGAGAGAGAAGGGAGAGAAGCTGTCCTATTAGAAGCATCATGGTTCAAACATCAGTTTTGGTTCCTACAGCTGGTGAGTCTCCTGAAGCTGCTGCCCCAGCCTGCCACTAGCCCAGACGCTCCTGCTCTGGCCAAAGAGTCATATCCTTGAGGGCTTTCTGCCTCTGTTCCACCTCACTTAACGCCTGTCCTGCTTGTGTGTCACACATCCCCTTTTGGCCCAAAAGATTGGAGAGCCTCATGACTCTCTAAGCATGGAGAAATATCCATTCTAATAACCCTGCACCAAATAATGCATTTTCTTCAGAGAAACCTTGTCTGCCACCAACATTCCATCCTCAGATTCCATCCACGGCCACTGTGGACTTGACCGGAGATAATCCAAAAGGGCTGCCAATGACCTGGACCCTAGAAAGCACCTGCTCTGGGAAGAGTTGACATGTTACCTCCCACATACATTCCTCTACCATCCTCCCCAAACCTGGGAAACTTTGCTCTGGAGTATTTTCAAGGAAGTTCGTTGTGTTTTAATGAAGTATTTTTCAGGGTTCAAATGATATTTTTATAAATGCAGCATTTTAATGACAGAGTCGATATGAAAGATATGTCTTCCTGGGCTCTATATTTGATTTCAGAAGGCAGCATACTACAGGAAGAAAAAGCACAGGGCTGAGGCTCTTGGAGACATGGCTTTGGCCCTGGCTTTGTCTCCATCTCGCCATGTGACCAAGGCTGAGTCACGTTCTTGCTCAGTGCCTCAGTTTCCCCATATGTAAAACAAGGGGCTTTGACTAGATGAGCTCTGAAGTTTCATCCAGCTCCTACATGCTAGGGCTTTCATTCTCCATTGGCACACCCTCCTTTCTTCGAATTCCTCCCCACCTCAGCTGAGCTGCACACATCTCATTATGCCTGCCCGAAGGCGATGTCCTCAGATACCCTAGACAGCCATCAGACTCCTCACTAGAGTCTGGGGTGGGCCCCATGGTCTCAGCCACCCAGGGATGCTCTCATATCTGAAGGTGTAAGGGCCTACCCATTCAATAGGTCACCAACCATGTGTCATGGAAGGCCTCTCATATAGTCACGCCTAAATCATCCTGGGTGTCTGTGTCATTGGGGAATTCTGAATTTGAAATTTTCATTTTGATGTGGTCCTTAAAGCTGGAGGGAGGCGGTTCCAATTTCAGAGATGGAATGAGCTGGAGGAGAGAGGTCCAGAGGTTGGCCCACAAGGGCATGAAGTTTGTATTTGAGGGCAGCTTGGAAATGCATTCCAAGCCACAAAGGCTCTGTGTAGCAATGGATGTTATCATATCCCACTCCAGAACTTGTGTCCTGAAGACCGAGTCTGGACACTGGGCTCCATTCCAGCTGGAGGGGGAGGAGGCATCAACCCCTGGGCTGCTAGGAGGTGGACACTCCCCCATCCTAGTAGCTTTCTAGCCTCTCCTCATGACACTACCGTCCTCCCGGTGAAAGCTTGTGAAGCAAGAATTTCGAATACAAGTCAGTATCATCAAACTCATCCTGTAAATCGGCAAACATATCAACCTTCCATCAGTCAGAGAAATAACATTATATGTTTCCTTGATATCCTCCCACCTGAGGGAGAGGAAGGACCCTGCTCAACTTTGCTCTCCATTCCTGCTGTGACCCTGGAATGCCACTCCATGGGAAGACTCATTCATTTGCTTCATAGTGGCAAATATTCCTCTAGTTCTATAACTCAACTAGATATTTTGTAGTAAAGAATTCTTGAAATTCTCTAATAAAAAGCAATTCTTACTGTAATATTTTTAGTTTGGGGACACAATTTCCTAAGGGGGGATTAATGAACATTTTTACGCATTAGCCCAATTTATGGATTCCATGTTTATTATATGGTAGTACTGATGAAAAGTACCTTTCTATTGTACCTTTGCACAGTTTCTTCCTTCCTCATAAGTAAGCTTCATGATGAGCAGTGCTCTTGTAACTGCTGCTTCATACAAATCTCATCATTCTACTTACCTGTCAAAGCACATTCTATATGTACTGTAAACAGCTATCACTTTAGTAAGATTTAGTCTTAAGGATTTTTCCACTTTTGTCAGTAACAGATATTTATGGATTAAAAAAATAAAGCTGTTTCAACATAACTTGTGTCTCAAAGTAGCCACGTGCTTTCTTATACAAACACAGAGCCAAAACAAAAGATAATTAAAAATCATGAAATGATGTAGAAGATCATTGGACATGGGGGCAGAAGAGGGATTGACTGCAAATGGGAATGAGGGAAATTTTAGGGTGATGGGAGCATTTTAAAACTGGATTATGGTGATGTCAAACTGTATACATCAAACTGTATACTTACCACAGGAGAATTGTATGATATGCAAATTAGACCTTAATGATGCTCTTAAAAATGGTGAACAAAAGGAATGTAGGAAGGTAGGCGTAGTAAGACAAGTGCTAGGATAAGGTATACCAATTCAAAGCAGAATTAGAAGTTATAACTTTGTATCCATATTCATCTATTCTAGCACTATTATTC